AAAAAAAAAAAAAAAAAAAAACCACCAGCAAAACAGCAAATTTAATTGTCGTATGGGATTTGGTATAATCTATTTTTTCGTAAACATTTTTAGCCGAAGTGAGAAAACAAAGTTCGTCAAAACTACTAAGCCGTAACAACTACAACAAAAAAACAACTAAATTTAGCTTAGCTGTAAACAAACGTATCACTTAAGATATCTGTACAATTTAATTATACATATACAATATACACATTTCTTTCTTTTGTAAATAAAGAGTTTAAATATACAAAGGAGAAAAAGACAAAGGAATTTTATTTAAATTTTGTATTTTTTTTTGGGAACAACTTCCCAATTAGGCATATGTAGCTTAAATAGTTGATAAGTAAATTTAGAGCCTCTGTATGTATATGAAATCACGCTGAAGAAGTGAGGATACGTAGCTAATATCAGCATTCAGAAATTACAGTCCGTGAAGAGTGTTTTTCGGCATAGTAACCTTGTTTAGGGCAGAGAGAATAATCTGATTAAATTTGCCTATCCGATTTTCATCTCATTAATAACATTAGCGTGTACACGACTGATGTATGGATCGCAAATAAAGTTGCTCAAAATTTTATCATTATGAAATCCAAATATATACAATATATAGCAGTTGTAAATATGTATTCACAGAGTGGATGCTTATCTACTATCCTTTTTTAAGTTCTGACTTTAGGCTACTAAAAAGTACTTTTAATTCGATATCATTTTACTTGAAATAGCAGAGTAAAATATTTAACATTAAAACGACAATTAATTATACTAGTTAATTTTATTTATTGCTATTTTCGAATTTTTCTGGCATCGGAATTGTTGTACCGCCATTGGTTTCCTTTTCCTCTGCTGTACCGGGTGTTTTCAGCGGGTACTCTTCCATTTCCAAAGGCCTACTTACTTTTAAGAAACGCTGTACGAATGGCGCGAAGAGATGTGGATTAATTTTATCGGCTTCATCTCGCCGCCAAATATAGCTTAGTGGAATGGCCAACAGCCAGACAAGTAAAACTCCAATAACTTTGTACCAATAAAAGGAAATTTCGTATATAGAAAATTCACGATTACTACCAAAAGCTGTTGTGACCTTTGGCTCTTCCACTTCTTGTGCGAGCATATGTAAGTTAACGGCGTTCGTAGTGTTCGAGCTGAAAAAAAACAAAAAGCCTTAAAGAGAACATTTTTTTTTTATCAAAGAAATCAAGAATATAACAGAGGTATAAGCGAAGTGATCGGTTTAGTTTAAAAATCGGTAGACCTTGTGCGCCAATTTGTTTTCATATTTTGCTCTTGATATTCCATAATTATTGTAGTTTAGCGTAGATAATTGTAGTGAGATATCCATATTTTATATATAAATGAGTATAATAAAATCTTCAGGTACTTAGCAATCTATCAGTTATGAAAATTTTTTTTTTTTTTTGTTAAAGGAACAAAATATTAACACTAGGTTCTTAAGATATATATAATATATCAAGCAAACCAGTCGAGAGGTAGTGCCAGAAACGGTAAGATCTTTGAATACTAATAGAAGATTTTTAAAGAAGTGACCGTACTAATCATGTACATAAATCTGTGATTTTATGATTGAAAGTCAACTTACATAGATTTAGTCAAGACTTGTAAATTGTGTGCTGCACATCCTTCAATGTTTGACGGTAGCGGAGTATAACGAATGGCACCTTCCTTAGCACGCATCTGTCCATTAATAATAATCCAAAACATGCTTAAAATACTGAAAATAATTGAAGCCACGGCCACCTTTTCCAATACAAAGAAACACAATCAATTAATTTACAATAAGATTTCATGATTGAAAAAAATCTTCTACACACCTTGCCGTTAGTGCGGGGTACAAGCATGCCCAGTAAAAAAACACCTACCACAGAGCCGGTATTGATACCGGTAATAGTTATTACCAGTTGTAGTATGGAATCGAAACGTTCCACCATCATACCACCAACCACACAATAGCAACCCATAGCGATAATAATGAGCTTCATTATGAAATTGGCACGCTCTTCTGTGTGGTGTTTCTTCATGTGGGGCTTAATGTAATCGAAATACATCACACCGGCCAGGGAGTTTAACATGGCGGACATGGAGCTGAGTGCGGCGCTGAAGACGCAAGATATGAATAAACCAGGCATACCAATTAGATGACCTATGATATCTTGCACAAAGAACGGCACCATTTTATCAGGTTTATTCACCAACTAAATATCAAACCAGAGTATGTACTACATAAATTTGTTTTAGTAAAGTTTAATCTTACCCCTGCTTTGATGGGATCACAGTCATGATAGTAAGAATACATCACAATGCCAATAAAAATATTTATGGTCATTATGACTAAGAAACCAAGGCAACTTAACCAGAGCGCTCTGTATGGTAAATATATATGAAGTGCAAACCGTTAGTTGTTGTCTATTCTTAGTATAAAGTTAAGCTTACTTTTGAGCATGCTTTAAGGAAGGCAGTGAGACGATACGTTGCACACAGCTCTGATTTAGACCCACATGACCAGTCCACATCATAACGCCACATATCATTGAATTCCACACCGTGATACGCACGCGTGGATCGATAGAAAAACTACGAGAAAGATAATATCAGTATCAATAATTTGGTATATAAGTGAGGAAAAAACCATAAAAAAAATAAAAGAAATCTACTATTGCCGAGTTGGTGCTTATAAAAGGAAAATAGACAATGCAAATTTCGGAGTTCATATCTGTAAAACGGAAAAGTATTCCATAAACTTCATCAGTGGTTGTTCGGACCTTTAATTGGACGGATAACTTAACATAAAATGAAAGCACAAATAGGAAGATGATAGATATAGTGACTTCTAGAGTTATATACCCCTAAATGAAAAATTTCTTTAAAATACACAATTTTTATTTGGATTTTTCTAAGTTTGTGTGAAGTTTAATCTCAAATTATCAGTGTTTGGTAAAAAGTCGGTAACAATCATGCTAGAATGTGACGGCGTATTCCGGACTTTTGATACGAGTCTACATTGACTCGCTTCATAACCAAAACATTAACTAAAATTAGTTGTTTTGATTCAGAAGAGATCCCCTGATATCTTTTTTTTAATTTTTCGATGTTATCATCATTAACATAGGTGGCTGGGCCACTTGTATAAGTCAAGTTTTCGATGACTTCACGACCTTCAGTGAATGCTTTGTGTCATTCAAACGTACCTGTACGTACTCGTACGGTTCGTGACAAAGTTAACTTCCGAAACAATTAAATTGATTCAATAGGATTAGCATATTCAAACCAAGCTTGATTTAATCGTAATTCGGCATAAATTTTTAAAGCACTTTTATCTACATCATGTAGAAAAAGATTAAAAGTCACCAATATACAGTAGGGATTTGAGCAAACTCGTAGTAATCCGAACAATTTATTACACATTTTGTATTTACTCACTTCAAATCCAAACGTCCACCTTCAGAAGCATATTCAAAAACTTTACTCAATCCTCCGGTCTTTATGGTGCCCATGATCCCCACCAGTATCACAGATGAAAGCATAATGCCGCCCTGCAGCACATCGGTCCACACAACCGCTTTGATGCCACCCTATACAACAAAGAGAAATGTCAAAGCCAATGTTTCATGACAAAGACATGAGACATTGTGAATTAACTAATTCCTCTTAATTAAATATGAAACAATTGTATTTACTTACTAACATTGTGTAGAAAACACAAATCGAGCATACCACACCATTGACTGCGTGTATATTCAAGCCAGTCACTGTAATGGAAAATAAGTTATATATTTGTTGTGCGAAATAAAGGTTGTGTCCATATTGTATTTTTTTTATTCTTAGCTTTCGCTTAGAATTACTTATACGCAGAGTATTCAAGTAAGCTAGAACTATTTTGTTTATTTATCTTTGTTTTATACCTTGTGCAAAGGCCAATGCGGGAATGAATATAATCACTGGTAAGAGCAGAAAAGCATTCAAGATAAATGTGCTCGTGACCAGCTGTCGGGTGCGTTTGTTGTAACGCTTCTCCAAATACTGAAAAAGTTAACGGATATGGAAAAAGTTAACAACAGTTTCATTGCCAGAGTGAAAAAGATAATTTAAAAATAGTAGCTAAGAATATTAAGATTAAGATAATTGGTTTTATAGTATGTTAAGTTATGCTGTAGATTACGAATCAAAATGAACAGAAATATATTTATTTATATATTTATACATGATATTAGTACTTGGGAAAGCATTGAACGATATATTGGTAGTCGAAAAAGTCTTTTCGTATTTCTAATCAAACTTCAACTTAGTTTCTTTTATATTTATACTAATAAATAAATTAGTACCATTTTGGTCGACCATTCGCTAGAGACATTATTCCATCAGTGTAAATCGAAATTTTGAAATTTCCAGAACGAAAGCGTGCGAAGCACTGTTGTGTTACACGAACTGATACAGCATCGTCTCCGTAAACCTCACAAATTTTATTGGTGGCTTGCGTGGCATTCTTCGCTTTTTTATAAAAAAGTTTCAAAATATAGCTTATTTCTTCATAAATTTTACTCATTTTTGAACAACTGTAACTTCTCACCTTTCCAACACTTTATGGTATGACACACTGTGATTGGTAGCATTGGATATATGCGACTGCAACGACACCTACTGACAAAATTAACAAAATACGAAAAGACTTTTTCGACTACCAATATGTATGCATATGGTTTTTGGCTAGCGAATTTTATGGATCGATCAATTTTAAATACCTTTCCTATGTTTGAGCTTTCTATCGCTAAGGTATCTGAAAAGTTTACGTAGTTCAAACGGCTTTTTGAGAGGAGGATGAGAATTTAATTTTTTTAATTTTTTATCACAAATTTAAATCGGATCGGTAGAGAAGTAGACAATATATCAAGTTTCAAAGAATAATAGGCGACATTATAGAATTTCATGCTTTTTTTTTTTTTAAATGAAAAAATTTACCACATATTTTATTACCTCATAACAGTTGAAAATGTTGTTTTCATARAAGACTGGAATAATAACGTAGCACAGCAATGGAGCCACGAAACCCATGGATACCATGATAAAGAAGTGATTGATACCAAAGGAATAGCTCTCGGCAGGAACTGATGTTATGGATAGGGCTGATAACTGGCTGGAAAAATAGAGTACCATATAAATAGTTAAAAAATACACAGACAAAGTATATATAAAAAAAATAATATTATTTTGTAATTCAGTAATAATTGAATGACTAATTGGGTTTGGTTTATGGATTTGGAATCATTAAACAATACCTTCAGTGTAAAAAGTCAGATGCAACCGAAAAATTCCATSAGTAGTAAATCTTCGTGATATTAAGTACCTTTTCGCATGCCCACTTAAAAATCTAAAATTCATTCAGAGAACGTAGAACATGTGCTGAGTTCTCTGGTGKAACAGAGCCATTCTTTAGACGAATAGCTGTCGATGTGCAAAATTCGAGTTCTRTGTGCCAAACTTACAGATTACTTAGAGAGTATCAGCGATTAAGGTTTTTGGCATATTAATAAAAGGAGAAATATGAATTATTAGTGTGTTATTTTTTATCTAATGTCAATATTATCCGTCTAGGAGCAAGAAAGCTTCATAGAACAGCAGCATTGTAAAACTAGCTAAATAGCGCACAAACTCTCACTTTATTTGAATCAAATTTTGTTAAGCGAAACTTTATTAAGGGTGTCAGTTGGTCACCCTGTTCGATACACCCGTCGCCCCGTTATACAACTTTTTAGGGAGTACCAATAATCAGTGACTTATGGCATTAGATCTGCTAAAACTGATCAGTTGAAAATATATTTACGACCGAACATGCCGAAAAAAGAGGTATAAAATTTTTCCAACAGTATGGAGCTCATAAGACACAGTCACGTTATAAATATGTCCGATTCTCTGCACAAACACTGAATGTCTTTGAATCATAATTTCATTGAATTGTCTGTACATGCTTTGAAATACAAGTTATAGAWTATAAACCAGTTTTAGATTCAACAGTTTTTTCTCTCTTAAATATTTCACGAATTTAATTTCTTCAACAGCACATTTGAAACTCACCTTGCTATTAAAGATATAGCAATTGGTATGATTTTCATACGCTTKCCCCCCATAAGATACTCATCCGTTGTATTTTTGGACTTTGAAAAGAAACCAAAGTATATACCAACTGCGGCAGAAGCGGCCAACATCAAACTGAAGACAACATAATCTACGCCACCGAAAGTGAAAATTCGTCCAGACGGCAGAGAAGCAGCGGTTGTGACTGCCATGCCCTTCGTAGTCTCAACAGCAATAGTAGTGGTGGTAGACATTTTTATCCTTGCTTTATTTTACATACATAAATATTTCACTTCACACTATGGAGTGAACCGCCTTGAAGAAAAGGAAAAGTCAGTAAATTCAAAGTCCTTAAAATACACTTTTCTCATTCCCACTTGGTATTTTATGTATTTATGTACTTTCATTAAAATTGGCACTACCGAGCGTACTTTTAGCCGTTACGGTGCGATTTAAACGCAAGCAAATTAAGTGTGTGGCTTTTCCTTAAATACTTGACACATTTGTAGCTTATCTTGTTGGGAAGAATTCTTATCACAATWTTTACGAGTACTAAATCTGTATACAAATTAAATGAGTGTGAGAAGGTCTTTTTAGGCAAAGCTTTAAACTAACATACTACATATTTRTAAATCAAGAATATGCAAAAGTGCTACTCATTTAACAACTAGAGGCAATTTAGCATACACATAAGCACGTACGTATAGTAAAGTTTTCATATGTGTGTGTAATATAAATGYTATCATATCACAACGCAATATCTTTCTTATGAATTAAATTGTGGACTCGTGCAATATGATTTCATCTTAATTCCGTTTTACGAGTGTATATGTGTGCGTTCCTTCTGATATGATAGCGTCCTCAGCTACTTTATCAATAATCTCCTTTTTCTTTAATATTTTATTATTGTATTTTTGTAAATTATTCGCATATCGCTTTATTACTATGAGCAAAAAATAGTAAGACTTTGTTCATAAYTTTAAAAATCTTAATTTATTCATTAAAGTCTATGTCGTCCCCCTCAAAGTGTACTCCTTGGTATGAATACACTTGTGCCAACGTATTTTCCAATATTCGAAACAGTTGTTAAAGTTAATTTAAGAATAAATTTAATTATATTGTAAAAAAAATTATGTTTGTTAGTCGAAATATGTTTCGTAAATATACTTTTTTTTAGTAAACGACTTCACACCCACCTTGCTACAAGTGAAAACGCAATAGGAATTGTTTTCATTCGTTTACCGCCGAGCAAATATTCCTCGGTATTATCCGCACCATGTCCGAAAAAGCCGAAATAGATACCAATAATTAACGAAATACCTAACAGCAACACGAAAACGGCATAATCGACGGTGCCAAAACTAAAGTTCTTAAACTGATGAATAGCAGCACCTAATGTGTTAATTTCGACGGGCATCGCGGCAGGACTAATGCTTTTCTTTTGAGGGCGTTATTCCGTTTTTTGTGAATTTCTAATAAACCGAGTTTACTTGCACCATGGAGGTGCTTTTAGTTAATGAATAATTTTACTTTCGTAATTTAATTATAAAACCTTTATGGTACAAATCAATTATACTAAAACTTGAATTTGGTCATTTGACTTGTAAAGTTATTTGTAAATAATTTTTCAATTGAGATAATACCGTATCGCGGAATTGTAAATGCTACACATGTGCGTACATGTGTTATCATACGAACATATGAACATATTGACGGACAATCATTACAACTAACGGACCACTTAAGCGCTGTATTTGACTTTGTTTAAGGGGGGTACCTTTAGTACCGTCAAAAATGTAATTTTTTCCAATTTTATTATGGAAGAATAAAAACAGATCACATCCAATTTTTTTGCATATATATAAAGAGGTATTATTAAACTACAAAATAGAAATTATTTTATGTAAAAAAAAATAATTTCGGAAATATTAATGATCCCGTTGATTGACAATTTGACTGTGTGCATAGTTTTGCAAACATTGTTCAGTAATTTAGGGCTCCATCGCGGACAAACAACGTGACACGTGATTTTTATATATATAGATATAGTAGGTTATTACATTTCATGTGAGACAAAATAATCTGAAGAAACGTAGTAAAATTCAATAAGTTTTCATGTGTGTTGCACAAGGGATCGTGACTCTCAGAAAAAGCACTGATATTCGCGATTTTTTTAAATTTTGAAATCAATTAACGGTCCGGTATTTTTTATAAATAAATACATTCATGATGAATACAAAACTATTTTTAATGTTTATTTATTGCGTGCATAACAATTAAATAAATTTTTGAAACGACAAAAAACAGGTTCAATCGTGGACACCGCCATAGAAGTCTTTGTTTTTTTTTAAATTTGACAAAATGACAGCGGTTTGAATAAAAAGCATCGAATTTGGCTCTTTTTTCGACAGTTTTTCGTAGAAAAAATAGGAAGATTTCAAAAACAAAAAAAAAAGGTTCCGTAGCGCGATAGAGAATTGCTTTAAACGTGTTCTCTCCAAATTGGAACTAGATATCTTCAAAAGATTGTCTGACTCCGTTCCCCACCCTACTTACTTTCTACAAGACACACTGTAGCGACCGCAATAATAATCGATTTTTCGAAAATCTCACATGGAGACAATCCCTTAAAATTCTTTTAATTGCTGTGGCAGCATACCCTTTTATAGTCCAATGTAGTTGTTACCTAAATGTAACTTATTCAGGTTCCCTTCATTTCATACATTATTTTTGATCAAGTTTGCTTAATGTTTGTCAATTGAAACAGTTTCTATTTTTGTTAAATTATTCGCATGTCACTTTTTATACTAGTATGAGTAAAAAATAGTAACACTTTGTTCATAACAGTTGTCGGCCCATACTTACGGCCTCTTTTTACATATAACTTCGCGCAAACGACGCATAACACTCAAAAAGTACTTCTTGTTTAGAGTTTGATCGGTCGTTGGAAATTCGAAGTGCACCATACCTCAATAATCGAAGAAAACTCTCAAAAAAACCTTGATTTCAACCTGTTTTGATTTGGGTTTTTCAGCTTCGGCTCACATTTGCCACAATATTCGGCCTATTGATCGTCTGTTTTCGGATCGTAAGAATCCGGATCCGGAATCGGATCGTCGCCAGTAATAATACGTTTCATGACATGCTGGTAGTTACACAGACGTAACCCGACACTTTTTTTCGAAAAAACTTAGAGATTTTGGAACCAATCGTGCTTTCATCTTTCAAAATGTTTTCACACCAATTCTTTCATTTTATTGACGTGTTGATCATTATTGATCCTGATCATCATCTTGGACGTGGTTGATCGTCAACGCGTTCTCGATTCTTTTTGAAAAATTTGTATCAATCAAAAACTCTTGCTTGCGTCAAAAAATTACCACCGAGGCCGTATTCCAACATTCTGAATGTTTCGACACCACAAAACTGATTTCATAAGTACTTGGTTGAATAATTTCACAAATTGTAATAATCGCCGAATGCACTTTATGTACTTCATAAAGACAAGTGTATACTAAACAGTAATGATTATATTGATGTGACACACCAACATAGAAAAAAAATATTTCGACGAATGAGTTTTTGCGCGAAATTTTAATTAAAAAGTCATACTATTTTTTGCCCGCAGTAGTATGTAAATAAATAATTATGTTTGCAAGTCATTCTATTGCATAATTTTTTTTCAATTCAACCGTTTTATATTCCTTTAATTTTTATTTGGTTTAATATCGTTCTTAAGGGTTAATTGCAACACAAGATAAGCAGCGGGGTGATAGATATCCTGTACCCCGAAATAAATTTGAAAAAGTGATATTGAAGAAGTAAAGAAACTGGATGTGAGCGTTATTATCTGTATTTTAAAAGTAACACATACAAATGTATGTTTATATACTTGTAATCAAAAATGTAGATAAACACATACGATGTTAAAGATTATCACACCACTAGGCACTTTGCTGAATCCTATAAATAGTTGTACATATTTATTTAATGCCAATAAAATGCTAAATTATGCTGATGCATCGTGAATGAAGTTTCTTAACCCATTTGGAGATATTACAATACATGAATTTATTAAGCGTGTGTTTGATGTTTAGAGTTTTTAATAGGTAAACAATAGGGTGCGTAAAAAACGAGTATTATTTTTTCGTTTTGTACTTTGAAAAATAGGTTCTTAGATACCTTTACGAAAGTATCTCCAAGTAAGAGCTCTTGAATGTAACGTGAAGGTCCTATTCTATTGTTTTCTTATTATCAGATAGAAAAGTGCAAGTCTTGATTCCAATTACTTGAAAAAATATCACGTTTCATTTATTTTGTAGGAAATTGAAAGGATTTAATGATCTTTTCGTAATCCGAAGCGTTTAAAAGTTATTGATGGCTGTCGTTTAGTTATTTTCAGGCAAATTTTCTTCTTATGAATTTTAAAACTCAAGGAAAAAAGATTTAAATACATATATATATTTGTTTTTAACCCACCCTAGTATAAATATACGTGCGTGATCATACCTTAAAAGAGAAATAATCCTTGATTGCTAGTCAAAATTTTTTTAATATAATTCATAAATTTAACTAGAGGAAAATATCTGACAATTACACAAAGAATTACGATTATAAGATAGTTAGTTTGATCAGTTGTTGCTTCATAACCGAACTAGCCATTTTTTGTACTCCTATATTTTCTTACTGATGTTTGACCATAGGCGTCTCGTTGTTTTGAAACTCGTCTTAAGTGTTAATGAAAAATATTTCATTAGTATTTGCTGCAGAACAATTTTCCACCGAGGAAGGTAAAGCACTATATTTTAGACGTCCTTGTGCACCAACAACAATTACCACCATCGATGTCATGATTAAGAGCACCGACCAGAAGGCAGCCGTGTTTAGGAAAATGTATATTATACATATGTTTTATTAAGATTAGAGAAAAGAGGATATTTCCAACTCACTTTGGCGTGTGCATGCCATACCAACATACCCAACAGATAAACTCTAAAAACCAAACCCAATGTTATGAAGCTAATTGAATATATCACCTGTAGTATTGAAGAGAATTTCTCCGCTATAACGCCGGCAATAATACTGTATACACCACGGGCACAAATAAATATGCGCATAATGAGATTAGCTCTGTTCTCAGTGTGCTTTACACGTGGTTTGATGTAATCTAAATATTATATACGCCACCAGCTAGAGCATTCAAGCTAGCGGACATGGTACTTAATGCTGCACTGAAGACACTGGAGATAAAAATGCCCGACTAGCCCTTGAGATGACCGGCTATCCTGTACAAAGAACATCATTTTATCCGGTTTCTGCACAAAACCAATGGTGAGCGGATCGCAGTCGTATAATAGTGCATTCATGGCTAAAGTAGTAAAATGCATATATGGAAATGTTTAAAGTCAAAAATACGTATTATCACTCAATTATGTCAACAACACAATTTAGTCCCATTATTGCTAAGCCACCAAACCAAAAAGGATCAACGAACGTTTTACATTACCTAATGATGGTAG